TAGGTTGGCAACTTAATAATGACGCGTCACTACTTAACATGTTTTTTGCAATTTCAAGCGCCGTTTCTTCCCCTCTTTTTGCATATATACAAAGTAAAAAGATGTCTACATAAATAACATTTAGTGCTCCAAATTTCAGCATTTGCTTTTTGGCAAAAATGGAGGACAAAAATTCCGTATTCGAGCTTCATTGTTCTACGATTTTAAACAAGGAAAATCACCAGCTGAATCTCATCGCACGATCATCACTGTTTTTGGGGAGGAAAGTATAAACATTCGGCAATGTCAACGATGGTTTCAAAGATTCCAAGGCGGCGATGAAAGCCTCGTAGACGAGCCACACCAGGGACATCCTCCAGAAGTGGTCGACGATGACTTGCTCGCCTTAATTGAAGACCGGCCCAACACTCACCGTTCGTGAGTTGGCAGAAATATTTGGTATTCCATATGACAATCGAAAACTATTTACACAAACTTGGGAAAAGAATCGAGTTGGAAAATGGGTTCCTCAGGAACTGACCCAAAGCAACAAAATGTCGCCTCAATTTTGCTACAAAAATGTAAATCAAACGACTTTTTTCACAGGGTTTTGACTTCTGACGAAATGTGGATCAACTACGAGAACGTTAAACGCAAAAATCAATGGCTATCTGCTGGGCAGACCCCTTAAACCACTCCCAAACCTGATATCCATGGGAAGAAGATAATGCTCTGTTGCTGGTGGAACTTCAAGGGATTGGTGCATTATGAAGTGCTGAAACCTGGCCAAACCGTCGATGCTGATCTTTATTCGAAGCAATTAATGAGAGTTAACGAGTCTTTGAAGAAATTGGGGCTCAAACTGGAGAGAGTCAGATTTTTACACGACAACGCAAAACCTCACACTGCAAAGATCACTTATAAGAAAATCGAGGAACTTGGCTGGAAAGTTTTGCCCCACGCGTCTTATTCACCTGATCTGGCTCCTTCAGATTACTTTTTGTTTCGGTCGCTGAAGCACTTTTTGGAGGGAGAAAAGTTCGATGATCATGCTCAGGTCATAAAAGCAGTGAATGACTACTTCGCCTCAAAATTCCCAAGTTCTTCGAGGATGGGATCCGGGATTTGCGCAGAAGTTGGAGAATACCTTTCGGAGATACTAATGGAGAATACCTTTCGAATTGAAAGCTCTTCTTTTGTGTTTTTTTGAAATAAATGATTTGTTACATAAACGCGTCATTATTAAGTTGCCAACCTAATATTTGCTTTATCTTTTAGACTGGTATAAAACGTTTTAGGAGATAAATCAAGCTTGTTAGAAGAGTTTTTTAAACAATAAATTCTTAAAAAAAGCGAAGCAACACTTTTCCAGCTGAATAATTTCACGAGAAAGTGAGAAGAAGAAGAAGGAAGTGAGAAGAACTTTCTTTTTGATAGATCAAAAGAAAGAGAATCCTTTTCTCAAGCTTGTTAAAAGAAAAAACCTCTTTTAACAAATGAAAGTTTTCATTAAAAAGTGAAAGAAAATAGAGATCATGCTTTATAAAATTTATAATTTATACTTTATACTTTATACTATAACTTTATACTACAACTTTATACTATAATTTATAGTTTATACTACAACTTTATACTATAACTTGATACTTTACACTATAACTTTATACTTTATACTACAATTTATACTTTATACTACAACTTTATACTATAACTTTGTCCTTTATACTATAACTTTATAATTTCAAGGTAAATTTTCAACTTTCACTTTCAAAATCATTTCAAAAGCAAAATCAAAATCAAAATTAAAAGCAAAATCAAAATCAATCTTCATCTTCATTCTTAAAAAAGCAAGCAATAAAACGACAGCATTTTATTTGAAAAGCTTTTTATTACTTTAAATTGAAGCTTAAAATGAAATTGGTGAACAATGAAATTTCAGTCAAACAATGGCTGAAAGTTTTTAATCAATAAATGAAAAAGATCTAGACATTTGGAATGTTTTAAAGTCACAAAAAAAAGCAGTAAAAAGTGGAGAAATGAAATAGAAATGACTCATAAGGAAATTGGGATGAAAAAGAGATACGAGAAAGTGAGAAGAAGAAGAAGAAGAAGAAGAAGAAGGAAGTGAGAAGAAATTTTTTTTGATAGATCAAAAGAAAGAGAATCCTTTTCTCAATCAGTGTTGGCAATTTGAGACTACAATGGAACACTGATGACACTTTGAAGAAAGAAGCTTTCGCAATTTGGATTGAAATGTTTGCTTTTTGAAGGTTGAATAAAGATTTTTTCTTCAAAGCCAATTCATGTTCATTTAGCCTTTTTTTCGAGGATTTGAAAGTTAGATTTTAAAAGTAAGATTTTAAAAGTTAAAAAAAGCTATAAGCAGTCAAAAATTTATCAATTAATCAAATTTTATATATGTTGTGTCCGATTTAGATTTCCGTCCGATTTAGATTTCCGTCCGATTTAGATTACAGTCTATATCGGACGTCCGATTTAGATTCAATCTAAATCTTATATAGATTGAACAATAATATAAACATGCTTAACACGTTAACGACATTGTCACCTGATGCTGTCTGACACATATTCGTTCGCCTGGGACATTGTCACCTGATGTCAGGTGACAGTACCAAAATTGATTTTTTTTGTGCATATTTATGTTTGCTGATGATGGGTATTAAATAAGCAAGTAGGGTAGTATCTATATTCGACTTGGTCCCGGAAAATGTCGATTTAACCGTTGATTATTAAAATTTTAACTTTTTAGGTGACAATTTCAGGTGACATTTTTTGTCGAAAAAAAACAACGTTGTCCCATGCGATTGTTTGTGCAAAAACGTCATTGTCGTCAACGTGTTAATATATGTTCTTAAGCGTTTTCAGTGTTTCAGTGTTTTATAGTTGGGTTTTCTTTTCAGAAAAAGACAGTAACAGACCTTTGAAAAATGCAGAAAACTACAGAAAATGCTTAAGAACATATATTAAGCATGTTTATATTATTGTTCAATCTATTGGGTTGGGGAGAATGAGTCGGCGCCCAACTTTAAAGGGACTTTTTGCACACATAAAGCCTTCTTTAAACATACGTTTGGTTTCATCAAAAGGATCCACTATTTCTCTACAAAATCACTTTTGAGAGATTCCACAAAGCTTTTCTTTCGTGGAGTTTATGAACTTCCAAACGCAGCTGGTTAAAATGGCAAAGAGTCCGACTCATCATTTGAACAGTTTCTTTCACATAAATCTTCTTTGGTGTTTATATAAAAAAGATAGAGCACATTCAATTACTTAAGTTGCCAAATTTGCAGGAAGATCCCACCAATGGTTTTTTCTAGATCACAGTTTGTAGTTTTTGTGAAAAAATGGCTTTTTCTTGAGCGGAGGCGCTGTTTGAATTTTCTTTTAAATGTGATTTTGTAGAGAATTAGTTAACCATTCTACTCATATCAAACGCATATTATTTGACGAAGTCGAATAGAAGTTTTAGACATTTTTTTTGATTTTCGGCGCCGACTCATTTTCCCCAACCCAATATATAAGATTTAGATTGAATCTAAATCGGACGTCCGATATAGACTGTAATCTAAATCGGACGTCCGATATAGACTGTAATCTAAATCGGACGTCCGATATAGACTGTAATCTAAATCGGACGTCCGATATAGACTGTAATCTAAATCGGACGTCCGCTATAAGTTCAATCTAAATCGGACGGAAATCTAAATCGACATATATAAATTTCAAGAATTTATATTTTAGAAAAGTTTTATATAAAGCTTAGCTAAGCTATAAAGCTTTTTACTCAAAATCAAGCCCAAGAAAGTGAGAAGAACTTTTTTTTGACAAATCAAACGAAAGAGAATCCTTTTCTCAATCAGTGTTGGTAATTTTAGACTACAATGGGACACTACAATGGATCAATAGCAATAAGGAATTCGTTTAACTTGGCTTAGCCTTCGTTTAGCCTTAATTTCGTTGCTTCAAAGAGAAATGATCCAAAGAATTCCAAAGAATTCCAGAAAGATCCAGATTTTCAGAAATGAAAACCGTTAGCGAATCGTATGCTCGAGTGCGAAAGCACAAAATGAAAATCGGCATTGATGGTGAAACGATTGAGATACGAGAAAACACGACGAACACAGCGATCACCTCGTGGAAGCTCTTGTTCTTCTCCATTTTCCTACCACAGGGTTTGTTTTAATCGGAAAAATCAGCTCAAATCAGCTTTTTCACTCAGACTTTTCAATCATTTTTCTAAGCGCTGGCTAATGCTAAAGATATGTGTTAAATCCTAAAACAAACCCACTCATCTTCTTTACTTTAATTTGATACTCAAACGAACAGAAACAAAGATAGTGTCAAGATATGAGCGTTTGTTTTAAACTAAACTTAGCCTACGCTTCTATAGAGAGATTCTATTAGAGTCTTTACTTCTATGGAAGAAAAAAAATCAATAAGATGCTAGCGATTCTAGATGCTAGCGATTCTAGATGCTAGCAATTCTAGATGCTAGCAATTCTAGATGCTAGCAATTCTAGATGCTAGCGATTCTAGATGCTAGCGATTCTAGATGCTAGCGATTCTAGATGCTAGCGATTCTAGATGCTAGCGATTCTAGATGCTAGCGATTCTAGTGACTCTAGCGATTCTAGTGACTCTAGCGATTCTAGATGCTAGCGATTCTAGTGACTCTAGCGATTCTAGTGACTCTAGCGATTCTAGTGACTCTAGCGATTCTAGTGACTCTAGCGATTCTAGTGACTCTAGCGATTCTAGTGACTCTAGCGATTCTAGTGACTCTAGCGATTCTAGATTCTAGCTGACGGGATTGATCTCTCAACTAAGATACAAGGCTCTTAGCCAGTCGGCTATGGCGGCTAGTTAAGATAAAGTTAAGTTAACTATTAATTAATTAAGTTAACTATCTTAACTAGTTAAGTTAAGACCATAAAGTGATGACACTGTTAAGACCATCACTGGAGTTTCCAGGTTATCCCCACAGTGTCACCGGTGACTATTTGGAGTATCAAATGTGGGACACAATTCAAGCATTTGCTAGCTCAATCACTGGAGCTTTAGCCACCGAGGCCATTTTGAAAGGAGCCGGTGTTGGGAATGAGGTGGGGAAATTTTTTTTTTTTTGAAACATTCACGACGATACTAATGACGATTATTTTTTTGTCTAAACTCAAGTTTTTAAGGATTTTTTTTTTCTTATTTATTTTGCAGAAATTCTTGATAATTTTAAAGTAGTTTTTAAAGAGGAGATGTAGGGCTATCGAAGGATGAAAATGATGAAAATAGTTGATGATTGAAAATGATGAAAATAGGGCTATCGAATGATGAAAATAGTTTAATAATTCTTTCAATTTTCATCAAATTATCAGCAAAATTGTTAACGACTACGGAATTTTTCGTTCAAAAAACTATCTTTCGTTAAAAAAGATGCTGAAATGTTAGTAAAAATGAAATAAAATGAAAATTTAAAAGATGTATATCTATTTAAAATTAAAATTGAAATCGAAAACATAATAAATAATAAGAAAAATTTTTGCTTATTAAAAAGATTTTAAAGATTTTAAAAGCTTAGGGAAAAAAGCATCAAAAAGACGTGATTCTTGTCTTTTCTTTTTCTTTTTCTTTTCCTTTTTCTTTTCCTTTTCTTCAATCCATATCGTCAATCTTATTTTTGGAGGAATTCTTGGGGTGAAGGGAATGTGAAAGAGAGGAAAGAGAGAAGTCGATTTCTTGTGAAATCCCCAAGGATTCCCTGCTTTTCCGATATCAGAAAGCCCATTGAACAAATTTTTATTCACAAATCTAAGATATCGAAAAAAATTGGACAGAATAAAGGTAGCCTGGGCTTTGGTTGAAACAAATGCATGAAAGTTGCTCAAATATCCCAATATCAGTTGAGCAAAGGCTTTACCGGAGCTTGTCGGATTTGGAACCGTATTGGAACCGTATTAGATCAAAAAAAGAACCGTATTGGAACCGTATTAGATCAAAAAAAGAACCGTATTGGAACCGTATTAGATCAAAA